CGCCATGGTTGCATACGTAGGTGTCAGGCGCTGCTCTTAGACTAGAACCTGGTAAGACCCTGGCCAGCCTTAACTTCTTAAGTTCAGCAAGGATGAGCACAGAGTTGTCCTAATCTGGTTTATCAATGGCAGGGGAATTGATAAACAATTACTGAAATCCCTCATAAAATAAGACAATGTGATGGACAGACAGAGAGAAGCTATGTGATAAAGCCAATATGGCAACAGGTAAACAATTGGGGATGCCCTTCATGGGTACATGGTTTTCACTGTATAGGTAAGGGGAGAAATTGCCAAACTACTGGGAAATTCTGCAGAATGTAGAAGTAAAGTCTAAAGTCAACTTCTAGGGAAAAAAGTCAAGTCTGCTATTTTGGATTCCAAGAGTTACCCATGAAAGACCGTGCAGGGGAAAGGCAGGCCCTTCAGTGGGCTGCAAGTATGGCACGCATCACCCATGCAACAGGCTTGGTGCACTGTGGCCCCAGGGCCAAGTCCGGGCCTGGCCAGTGCATGATCCTGTACAGCCAGCAGGCTAAGAGTGGTCTTTACATTTTTAAGTGGTTGGGGGAAATCCAAAGAAGACTAATGTTGCATGAAAGTCCTATGAAATTCAAATTGTAGTGCCTGTCGGTGAGGTTGAATTGTAATACAGCCTCGTCTACCAATTTACATGTCGACCATGGCTGTTGTCATGCCACAACCACAGAAGTGAGCAGTTGTGACTGAGACGATAGGGCCCACAACGCCCAAGCCATTTACTCTCTGGCTCTTTACAGCAAACCTCTGCCAACCTGGGCTTGATAAGATGGAAATGTTCCTTGCATGCTCTTGGGGAAGATGAAGCAGTCAGATTCCAAGCACATGTGATGGACTGTGGTGACCCTATCTCATGGCCTATAAGACTAACTCTTCCATTTCTTATGCTTTCTGAAGTGAAAAAATTTTTTTCTCTTATTTGTTATAGTAGCTAAACAAGTTGGCTATGTCCAGTTTTCCAGGGAAAGTTCTTCCACCATGCCCACTGGCCTCATCTGAGCTTTACACATTAGGTGCAGCTTCGAAAGAACTGTTGACCCGAAGAATTGTGTGTATGATTCAAATCAACTTCGGGGTGGGTTTCCCACAGGGAAAAATAATTGCCCCAAAGATATGGGGATAGAGTAAGAAACACCTGGAAGCATTATCCACTTTTCTCAGTGGGTGAACTACACACATTTAGTTCTGCAACATAATTCTTGCACATTTCTAGTAAGAAACGTGAACAACCTGATTCTGAAGTCCCATAAGTAGAAACCTGCAAATTAAATACTGTGTCAGCAAATATTGGTAAGGTGTCTTTAAGCAGGGCCCTACTCTTGGTGAGGTTCCTCTTTTCATTCCGTACATAATCCCTGAGCACCCTTGCAAAGCACTGGGTCACCCAGGTGAGCCAAAACAGGTATGGTCGCTCACAGAGGTCACACTCTAGAGGGGGAGTGATCACACATGTGTTAGTTACACAGATGCATGTGAAACAGCAGCTGGGTTGAGGACTCAGTGGTGGCAGTGGGGGACGGGAGGGTTGGGGAGGCTGTAGCAGAAGGACCCAGCCAAATCTGGGGATCAGCCTTGGAGGTGCTGTTCAGGATTTAGAGTTTTTTGCCAAGAAACAATGGGACGGCATCGAGGGGCTTTAGCGAGGAAGTGCAGTGATCAGGTTTGTGTTTCGACAAGTTCATTCTTGCTTCCGAGTGGAAAATGGAGCATAGGGGACATGGTGTTTGTGGTATCACCAGCTAGGGGCTGTTACAAATTCCAGGCAAGAGATGCTGGTATAGCTGGCTGGTAGCGGCAGTGCAGAGGGACGAGCAAGGACTTCAGGAAGTACTGGGAGGTACATTGGCGGGACTTAGGGTCTGATTGGGTGCAGGAGGACACAGGAGGGCACAGGAGTGGAAAGGGTTGGGGAGGGAGCAGAGGTTCCAAGTGCCGTTGGCTGAGACAGGAGGGGCCTGGCCTGGCAGGGGAAGGGAACCACACTGGAGAGATTGTGAATTTGGTCGTGGATGGGCATGTTGACCACAAGGCACTTTGGAGACAGCCAAGTAGAGCTAGCACATGAGCACTGGCCATGTTTCTGGAGCTCAGAGAAGTGGCCGGGGCCGTCGGGATCTGGCCTGCGCTCACCGGCTACCACATCCCACCACATCCTCCTCCTCCATCCCGGCCTGTGAGGTCTGCTCCAGCTTTCAGTGCAGAATCCAGGAGGTGCCCTGCCTTCTCAGGGGTCCTGCAGCCACCCATCACCCACCCTGTGCTCCCAGTTCTCCCAGCCCTTGGCGCTCTTGCCCATTCCCCCTGCAGCTCTCATTACTTGGACTACAGCTGGAAAATTACTGCTCTCTCTACCCCACCAGCATTGTCACAATCCGCCTCTGCCCCTGGCATCTGGACCAGTGTCCTCATGAAATGGGAACTAGGTAAACAGTAGACAGACAACCCAGTAGTTGCATTTAGTGTGTGTGTGTGTGTGTGTGTGTGTGTGTGTGTGTGTTGGGGGCGCAGCTAGGACTTCATGTCAGATGGACCCATGTGGGTCCCTGCTGCCTCCGTGACTGCTGGTGAGTGCCAGGCCCTCTCGGGTGGCCGTGGGGCTGCCTCCTCTGCTTGGGGAAATAGCTGCAGGCTGCTAGGTGGTCGTGGCAGAGCATGAAACAGGCACCAAGTTGAAAGGAAGCATTGACAGATATTGAGCCTAGAAAAATGATACCTGAGTGGAGCTTATTTTACAGGAAAAAAAAAACAACAAACCCATAAATTACGGCCGCTATGGCAAACAGCAGGTTTTAAGCCATATGTTAGCCATAGGGAGGGAGAAGATGAGTTCACAGGGTTTCCTGTGTCAAGAGGACCAGGATCCCGGCCAGAGCAGGAACTGTGCACATTGGCGTCTGTCTTTTCTTCATTCTACTCATCTAAAAGGCTGGACGGAATCTGTTTTAATGAAATAATCTGTAAATGTGAATGCCAGCGAATACCTTGGCAAGAGCACGTTGCTAGGTATTAGATGCCTAGATGCTAGCATTTTGTGCATGGGATACCCAGAAGCCTACACATCGGTGTCCAGGATACTTGTGTTTTTCTCTACCATGCCTTAGTATATTCATTTAAGCATGCTGAGAGTTTATCCTGAACTCCCTTGTTAAGCTGTTAAGGATTGCCATCACTGGCTTGACAGAGATGAGTCTTAACTTCCTCACCAGCTTCTTGTGTTCCCTCCTGGATTCTCTACTTCAAGTATTTTACTTGTGGCTTGTCTCAGAGTGCCAAAGCTTTGCCCGTTCGTGGTTTTGAGAGGGCTGTTGACGGGAGGTCAGTGCTCTGCCTCACTGACCATGTGCTCGTTGTCCAGCACTGTGGGCGGCACCTATGGGGAGCAGTCTGACCTGGTCTCTGCAGAGCAAGCAGGGAATACACTCAGGGACCCTGTGATTCTGTCACAATAGGGACCCACCCACCAAAGCATCAGCAAATACCTCTGGCTGCCACAGTCCTTACATTTTCTTCTTGCTATTAAGATTTGGGGAGTACGAAAGAAGACATCCAGATGGCCAACAGACACATGAAAAAGTGCTCAACATCACTCGGCATCAGGGAAATCCAAATCAAAACCTCAATGAGATACCACCTCACACCAGTCAGAATGGCTAAAATTAACAAGTCAGG